TGCCTGAAACACACCAGGCCTTCCCAAGAGCTCTGAAGGACACTGTCCCTGTGAAGAGGCTGCTGGGTGACCTCCTCACTCTGTCCCAGAGGGTCCTTTCACTTTGGGGCGTTCACTTTGAATCCTGCGACCCAGTCCAGGTGGGAGCCAAGGAAGTTAATTTGCTTTTCCTTAGAACAGCTGAGACACGCTTGCATTTTCAAAAGGGAGTATTGGAAGGGACACACCAGAGATCCCGGATAACACAGCTGTCCCGTTCCTAAGGCAGGCTGTCTGCTCTCCCAGTACTTGGCTCCGGGCCCCAGGACCAGGCAGCTGCTCCCTCAGCCTTGTCTCTTGGCCTGGCACCGGCTGCTTTCCTACACTCTGCAAGACCGAGGCCATCCTCTGTCTTCTGCCAGCTGGGTCCTGTCTCTGCCTTGGCCCCTGGTCTCAGATGTCCCTTGTCCAGTTGGTTGAGGCACCTTGTCCAGTTGGGTTGTCAGAGCCTGGCGGGCGGAGACACTATTCCCTGCAGCGACCTCAGCGTCAGAGGGGCCTCTAGGGAGACCCCTGCCTGCAGCTTCACTGCAGCCTCTGCCTTCCTACTGGCCTCCAAGTGCTGCGTGTGGAAGGCTGGTAGTTGCTCTGGTCTCTGCCCGTCCATTCTCTGTGTGAGGCCCCGCAGGGCCCAGCTCTAGCTGGGGAAGCTGGGGCTGCAGAAGCAGTTAAGCTACAGGTCCAGGCTGCTGTTGAGGTAGGTCAGGGCCAGGGACCTGTGGACTCACCATATGCCGATGTGGTGTGGCAGGCCTGTGGCTAGAAGGCCACCATGGAAGGCGTGCTGAAGATGGTGCTGAGCAGGTGGCATAGACGGCACCACCATCGCCAGCATGCACAGAGCCCTCCGTGGCCCGCCTGCCTGCCGCCGCCTGTCTCCTCCCCTGTCTGGATGATGAGCCCGATGCTCACACTGGCAAAGAGGATGAGCCCCAGCATCAGGAAGAACTCCAGCCTTACAGTGCCTGGCGCCAGCAGAGTGAGACTGAGGTTTTTATGCCCAACCCGTAACTAGGAGAGGAGTGGCTGAAATTAGTGGTCAGGAGCAGGTGCTCCCCGGAGTCCCAACCACCTGCACTGCCCCCTTAGAGGCCTCTCTGGCAGGGGGGCTGCCACCGTCAGGGAGAGGTGGAGCACAACACCTTGCTTTAGGGGCATCATGGAGAGGCTGACCTTGCAGGTGGTGGCCCCCGAATTCATCTCACACAGGAAGTAGCAGTCCCTGCAGAAGGACAGGCTGAGGTCAGGAGAAAGTTGGGAAACACCAGGCTGACCAGGAGCAGTGTGCTGGACGTCCAGGGCCACCTGCGGACGTGGAAGAGGAAGAGGGCCCCCGCCAGTCCCCAGGACAAACTCCACACCCAGGATTGGTGCCAGGAAAGCAGACGTCAGGAGGAAGAAGGGGGGTGACAGGAAAGCTAGGCCTCTCTTGAAGACCCCAATACAATGGTGAAGACAGGAGGAGAGGGACAACACTGTGAAGAAGGACTTGAGTTATGGAATGCCATGGGCTGGGACCAGCAGATGGTGTTAAGTAGCTACATTGCTGGACTCCCATGTAGTCAACCATGGTTCAAATCCCATATGTGGTGGCTTAAAACTCAGGCTGGACACATGTTTGTGCATGCATGCGTGCCCAAATCCCAAGAGGAGAATGGAGGAGGATGGACTGCAGCATGGCCATCCCCCCTGGGGGCGAGTTATTGTTTCTCTGTCTCTCTGTGTCTCTCTTTGTCCCTCTGTCTCTCTGGTGAGCACGCACACCCTATAGCGAAAATCTCTCTTAAAAAAAAAAAAAGGAAAGAATGAAATGAAATGCCATGGGCTGCTTGGGCTCTGGACCTGAGAGAAGGTTCTGGCGGCTTCTATCCCTGCATGAGTGTTCAGGGCAGAGTGAGATGGTCGTCACTGTCAGCTGGCCACACAACCACGCAGCCTCCTGGGCTTTCACAGCATCCTCGAAGCCACCGAGAGACACCCAGTGTTCCTGCTTGCAAAGGGGGACCCATATCTCTCCCTCTCCTGGGTCCTGAGGGAATTTCACATGAGGTGCCTGAGCCCAGCCAGGGGCAGGTGGGTGACCTGGCAGAGGGGGACCTGGAGCTCAGCTGGGGTGAGATGGGGCTCAGGGAAGCCCTCAAGTGGGCAACAAGCCCAGCCTGGGAGTGGGGGAGAGTATTTGTTGCCCTGCTGGGCAGAGGTTTGTCCACCTGAAGGCAACTGGGCCTCTCGGGATGTGTAGATCTCCCTGGACACCCCCACCCCATCCACTGCATACGCAGCTGGCTGGCTGCTCCCCGCCCTGCCAGCTCTGGCTGGCAGGACCG